CACTCTCAAATTGAAGTTGAACTTGTTGACTGATGCCAAGGCGGCGGCTGCTAAGAAGACTGAAGCCAAGGCGGACCAGAAGACTGCAGCCAAGGCAGCACTGGTCCACACCTGCTCTGTCTGTCGGGTGAGTAGTATTGGTTGGTACTGTATGTGCCTTTAGGTTCCTCTTCATGTGTAGGCTATTGTACTGGCCTGTGTGGTACTGTCTTTTATATGTGTAGTAGTGTGTTGCATCGTATTGCTTAGTTTATCATTTGTGTCAACTTTGAATTCAATCTATGCCACAGATTGTTAACATCCACCATTTTGCACTTGACCTTTATTGACGCAGACCTGAAGACATTCAAGTAGCACTTTGAGAGCAAGCATCCCAAGTCTCCAATGGTCCCAATACTGGTTGAAGTGATCACACACACTAAAATGGATCTACAGCTGGGGTAAGATTCTTCCATCATTCACACACAGTAGACCATGTAAACCACCATATTGTCAACAAAATGCTGTCCTCAATGATTAAGTTGTATTGTGTATGTCTCAATTTGTGAAAATGCTGTGATTACTCATCATCTTTAATGTTGTGATTCATAGAAACACGATGACCAAGATTTGAATGCTGCAACTGAGACGGAATGACGTCAAGGGACACTGAGTATGACTGGACATGGGCCAGATATTTGTGACAACGACCTAAAAGGGATGCAGAAGCACACCAGCACCCCATTTTATGTTTATTCCATGGCCCATCATCCCTCTAGCTACCCCTTATTCCACACTATGAATTAATAACATCTAGACTCAGTAACAAGTTTAAAAGTGTTGTGGTGTACTGTTTATGCTACCTTTTTTTCACCTGTGTTAAGCTGTCCTGTTTATTCTGGGGTTCAGACTGAATGCAGTATTAAATGTGCAGAAGAATCTGTGCTCTCTCGGATAGTAACAATAGTTCATACTGTGCTCGTCGATGTCCCAGGTTTGTGGCATTGATTAATAAATCATTTAAGAAAATTATAAGGGATTAAATATAGACCTCCACCGGCTAAAGCTTCTTTGCAAAGAACTAGCCTAGTATTCATGAAACATTGTAAATATCTGACTGCTACTAGGATAGTATTCTGTACAAGACAAGACCAAATAAGCCAACAAATATTAGTAAAATAAAATATGGAACAGTAAATGAAAATGTTCAATGTATCTTTTGTTTTGGATCAAGGTAGCTAGCTAGCTCACAGCAAAGGTGTCAGCTAGAGATGACGTGCAGGGGCTTGCAGGGATTTGTAGTCTTGCATGTCTACTTTGATGCTAATTAGCCTTTTCGAATCAGAGTAAATAGAGGTGATGATATTAATAAAAGTCCCCTTGTCTGAGAGATTTATACGGTTATCAAAACGTCATGCCAGGGAAAGCCTACATGAAACACAGACCTTGTTTGAAGTGGTTCTAAAATCCCCTATGGGAAAAATGAATGGTGAAAAAAAGATTGGAACCATTTCCGTGTTTGACGGCTAGGTTTTATGGCTATTATGAAGCGTCCACTGTGGGACTCTATAGGTTAGGAGCCTAGTTATCAAGGTCTCAAACATTCAGCTACCTTATCAGGCTCTTTAATCCTGAAGCTACTATGGTAACATTTGTACCACTGGCATTTTGGCTTTAGTGGCTCTGCCAGTATCCATCTATTTCACTACATTGAGGTCAAGCTTATATTCAAAGGGACTAGAGACAAAAGATGAATTAAAAAGTGATTGTTTATTGACATTCGTGTACAATGATATGTGTACATGGAGCGAAAGCACAGCCTGAGAATTTAGTGACCTGTTATCAAACCAGATTTGATCATAAACACGTCTTTCAAAATGTCTCAATTCTGAAAGACAAAGTCCTACAGGACAAGGAAAGTTAGAAAGGAGAGAACAAAGGACCAATTACCGAAATAGGGAGCCTTTTATCAAGTCATATCAACAAGGTATAGATGCTAATCTATATCACAACTTTTCTGCCAGTTTTTGACTGATGATTGTAAGATCTACTGTTTTACCTTGCTGTTTCCAAGGGGATATAACATGAAAAATAAATAGGCAAATAAAAAAGTTGATTTAGAAAATCACAAAAATAAGGTACTCATAAACAAACTGTAGTATAGTTAGATTGAATTATCGGTGCATTATTTATTTGAAAGCTCTGATCAAGCTCTGATCTTAAATATTTGAATAGTTAATGCACTTAAACAATGTACATAGATCATTTAGAATAATTTAAGGGTAATATTGAATAATTTAAGAGCCATATTAATTTAATAAATATCCTCATATTATAGGATCGATCATACCAAGGGATGCCCAGGATATTCTATGGATAAAATTCTTCATAAAGCCAGTAAAAATAGACTACTGAATTAAATATTTCTTTTCAAATACAATGCTAGACAATTCAAACAAAATTACTTATTCTCTACATGACACATTGGTTATGTCCCAAATGGCAACCTAACCCCTATATAGTGCAGTACTTTTGAGAGGGCCCATGGGGCTCTAGTCAAAAGTAGTGCACTAGATTTACATTTTAGTCATTTAGCAGACGCACTACATAGGGAATAGGGTGCCATTTGGTATGCGACATTCTGTGTCTTCGACCATTAAGGATGCAATTCCTACGTCAACATCTTGAACAAACCACCATTTTCACCTGTCAATACCAACATAGAAGATGGATAGATTGGGTTCCCACTAGATGGCCAAACTGCAAAATTGTCTATATCATAAAAATGTATGAAACAAAACATTTTAGGGTTAGGCATAAGGTTAGCAGTGTGGGTAAGGTTAGAGTCACGTTTAGGTTTAAAATCAGATTTTAAGAATATAAATTGTAGAACTAGACAGAACTGACTTTGCAATTTGGCCAGATAGTGACGGAATAGAGGGAGTATGAGAAAGAAGTGGTCAAGGTTCCATTTACAGTGCAAAGGGAAGGAAGACAACACCAATGTTTCCCCACAAAATCAAAATGAACAAAGCCGTTTTGACATACAATTCAAAATCATGAAAAATAAAAAAGGTACTAAATGAAGGCATAAGTAACAAAAAACTATGTACACATTTAAAAAATAACATGTAAAAGTCCTGTTTTTGAAAGCATTTCAATTCCTATGCCATCATTATAAAAACACCTAAACAATACTGGACAATGTTAACCAAACAAAACATTCAACTTAGTTTTCCACCTTATGGTCCTAAAGAGAAACCATAATATTACATCACCCACTTTGACAATAAATAAAAAAATATGATAGAAAAACAACAGTACTTATGAAACAAATCTAACAAGAATCTTCTTTGTTCCCTGAAAATTTCTTTTTTTTGCAGTAGCCCTGGTTCTTTCCATACAAACATTATAGTCTGTTTAATCATAGTACAACAGCTGTAGCTTCAATCATGGTCAATCTACAGTATTTTACAGCATAACTAGGGGCCATTTAGGGCCGGTTTCCCTGACACAGATTAATCCTAGTCCAGGACTAAAAAGCACGGTCATTGGAGAATCTTCATTGAAATAGATTTTTAGTCGACAGTGGTATTCAATCTAATGACGCAACCCTAAAATCGGTCAATTTCGATTTTAACATAAACAAATAACCTTCAATTTCATCTCTTATCAAAATGAAAATAATCCAATAAACACATTTACTTCATAAAAGTTGATTTTTCAAATTATCTTTCTCAAAAAACATTTACATATTATTGTATGGGACAATATACAATCCCCCAAAAACACCACTGCAATTCCCCCCGACTTTGAATACCACTGGTATAGGACTATGCCTAATCTGTGTTTGGGAAAGTGCCCCTTAGTGTTCATAATTTCAATGAAAAATCAATAAATATAAAGGACGAGACCCCAAGAATAACTGTCAGCACTAGACCAGGACAGACAGGGATGTTCAACATGATGTTACACTCCATCAAAGTTGCACAGTGCCTCACCGAGTACAGAATTTACCTCTACGGTTGAGATCTCTCAGTCAGCGTTTGGGCTTAGATTGCAAAACCCATGGTCCGAATGACAAGGGTATTATTTATGATGTGAGCTCAATGACTCTGCAAGGCTGACAAGAGAGCTCTCAGAGCTTAGCCTTTCACATTCTAATCTTAGCCTTGTACTAGTTACATCATCATCACCTGGGTCACTACAGTTCCTCTCACTGTACTGTACAGGAACTGTGACTAGACACTAACAAGCCTCCTACTGCCATGATGCAGCAAAAACAATTGCACCACTGCATTGGAGTTTCCAATAGGATGTGTGATTCATTAACACATAGCTGGTGTCATTGAGGCAATAACTCACGGAGGCACGGTGTCTTTCTTGGGCGGGATATTCAGACAACTGTGTGCAGTATGTACACACAGGCTGGGGCATGGACTCAGAACAAACACACCTTTCACTACAGGAGTGAAGGAATTCCTAAAAAGCACCTGTTCATCCACTCTGAGGAAAACAGTGATGCCCTTATGATGAGAAAGCAATTGGTGAAACGTGCACAAAACATGTTTATTAAATGTAACAATGGAAAAAAACTAATATTTGGTTTTGTCACTGAATGGTCATCGGGAGTCAAGATGATTTCAGGAAATGCTCTGCGATGATTGATAGGACAAGATTAAGGTCTGGAGAGACTTACGATCTTTAGGGGGTCACCGCTGATGTTACTTCCTCTGATGATGTCAGAGGTGGCGGGCTGTGGGTAGCCGGTGGAGCAAGCCCCCCCCCCTCTCCACACAGTATATTTATTCACAATGTCCCAGATGAGTGATGTAGTGCATGCAAGTTTTAATAAGTTTGATCCCTCTTTTTCAAACCCACTCCTCTGGTACGTATTGTAAGAAAACAACAACAGATAATACCATTTGTCCAGAGTTAATATTTGTACGTAAAAAGAAAATAGTTTGTTAGTAGGGTGCCAGAGGCAGTCAGTCAGTGGTCAGTGCTAGTGGTCAGTCTCACTCCAGGCCAAAGGTACTGGTCTCCTCCACAGCGATCAGCAGTTTCTCATACAGCATGGTGTAGGAGGGGTACGGGGGAAGGTCCAGGCGGTTGAAGCACGTGTGAGCCCTGAAAGAGAGGAGAGGAGCAGTACAGTATGTCAGGGACAATACTGTATCAGGCACCGTCAGGGAAAGTCTGAATAAGTCCCCAATATGAGAATTCGATTGGTCTATTAATAACGTCCAATATGATGTGTTTATACTGTAAGTCCAGGGTTAACTGTAAATCTGACTCATGGACATTGTTTATCTCTTCCACCAATAATGAGAAAGCCCTAGGTTGAAATGTTATTCGTTAGCCATGGCATTCCCATCTCCAACCTCAGCCTTATTTAGCTTCCTTACTGCTGACACTGTGCTTCCTACACAATGACAAACACTACCACTTTCTCTCCTCCACAGCGAAATGGGAGCCCTCTCCTTTCTGCTGACATAGTTAGCTTTAAATGAGTTCTTCTCTCGTTTGCCAAATAAATGTCCAATGCAGGTCTAACAAGGTGAAAGGTATACAGCAAATACTGTACAGGCGTCAAATATAGCACTGTTTGCAATGCAACCAATTCAGAGGGATCCTATGAAAATTGGAATATGAAAATAGAAGTAGGCCCAGGGGGTGCGTAAGGATTCAGTACTCATTTCAGCAAATTGAACTTCATATCATGTCTTGCACTAGTGAGTGACCATAATAACCTGTGTGTTCCAAACCCTGCAGCTCGCCTGGCTTTAGACACCAGCGACACATAGTGTTGTAGAAGCACTGTATACTGTGTGACCTGGGTGGTGTTCACTATAAGGCACACATAGCAAAACATTTAGCAATGGAAAATATCCACAAGGATTTGTCATCAGATAGTAGGCTACTTCCCTGTTTCACTCTGTTTGGTACCTACTGAACATGACCCAGCCACTTCTCCATCAACAACTATTTGCACACAAGCAAGCAACCGCACGCTAGTAGCGTTTATACGCTAGTAGAAAATATGCTAATGGTTTGACTTTTATGAACCTCTGCTACACCACGTACAATTTACTAATTTGTGTTGAAATGACAAATAATGTCATCTGCTTCCAATGCAATTGTTTAATAATCTAAAAGATTGTCTAAACCAAATGTTTTTCACCAAGTTTTAGAACAAGGTGGGGGTGTGACAAGTATTTTCGCTCCTGAGAAAACTGGTTATACCTCTCTGTAAAGCTGTCTGGCACTATAAGAAGATTACAAAGTGGAACTCTAAATGTAATGGTTGAGTAAACACACCCGTGGCCGTTTCATTCATTCCCCATATGGGTAATATAAGCCTTGATACCACACTCAACCAGCTGACAGTATGGAGAATATATATAATAAAGAGAGGGAGAGAGATAGAGAGGTAGTTACATCCGTCACGTGTGTGAGAATAGAATGCTTGCACTATGCAAACTTTGGATTACATGACAATATCATGTGGTCTGAATGAGAGTGCCTCAGGTAAGGGAAGTAAAAACGGGTGAAAGGGATTACGCCTGAAATGGGCAAATGTTTTTGTTTGAGTGACCACCTAATTTCCAATGACAGCTGACTGACATACTGCATTTGTGTGGTGTTGATTTTGTACTTTGAGAATTGTCAATGGCAGATAAAATAGTATTAGTTTCAAAATAGATCATCTCAAAGCCAGTTTCTTTGTGACTTTTCTTTGTTTCTGGATGTTTTTGTGTCCAGGACAAAACAATTGCTGCTGTCTGGGGCCTCATGAACACACTAACAAAAAAAACATAAGCTGCCTTTCAGCCAGGTAAAAATGTGGACAAGGACAATAACGATATGGAATAAGAAAGTACTGTCCCAAAGTTGGGATTGCAGTCTGTTCTATGTTCTAACGGAGGTCATATTGGCTGCATTTACACAGGCAGACCAATTCCGATCTTTGTCCACTAATTGGTCTTTTGACCAATCAGATCTCATAATAGCCCAGTCGCATAAGCTGTTGATATATTTTTAAAAAGCAGACAGTTCCCTTTTAATTTCCTTTAAAAATATTCTCTCTACAGCCCTTCCTATGAGGTGAAAGACTGTATTTTGCTCCAATGTCTGTCCCTAAATACGCCTCAGAGGGTGTGGCTACATGCTTTAATAATTCTAAATGGCCACATTTAGCATGTGTTTACAATGGACCTTTTAAGTGTGTGGCAGATTACAGTACATTTGACCCCAGAACCAGGTTTACTGTACTATATCCTAGTGGGCAAAGATGTCAATTCAACATCTATTCCATGTTGGTTTCATTTGTCATTTCATTAAAATGACATGGAAACAATGTTGATTCAACCAGTGTGTGCCCAGTGGAATGTCTCTCTGGATCTTTCCATCTCCTTGTAGTGGAATAATTACATTAGTCAATGAAATAACCTCTTCATTCCAGAATAGAGCACCCAAAACAATGCACTCTGCTTATAAGAATCTGCTTATAGAGTAGTTGTAAAAAATTTACTTACAATGTAGTTTGCTTTTATTAAGAGTTGAAACTAGTTGATTATAAGAATGAAACTTGTCCAGGACAGATATGATTCTTATAAGAGGAGTTAATTCCAAACTATATATTTATTAATATGTTGGTATATTTTCGGTCCAGTACCTTGGTAGAGAGGTGACCTTGCCCCACTTCTCGATGCAGAAGCGTCGTAGGCCGTTGCTTCCCCGTAGGGCAGCGAAGCCTTCGTATGGAACGCTGGAGGTGCCTGTCACAAACTGCAGCAGCCGCAGCCTTTGCTCGTTGTTGAAGCGTTCCACCGCACCCCAGAACCACCGCATCACTATGTGGCCGTCATGGTAACCTGGGGAAGGAGTCATTAGGATTCATTAGGGGTCATTGGTGAGGTCAGTCTGTGTAGGTGTAAGTGACTGGTACCAAACCCTGGTTATCGTCACTGCTCTGTAGTCTGCGTCAACCGTACATACAGGTGGTTGCTACACATTGCAGGTGAAAGGGACTGAGTCATCCCCTTACTTAGTGTTTGAGAAATGTGCTTATTAACTGCAAGTCATTGTCATTACTATTAATACTGTGGACAGAGAAGCTAGCTCCCATTCTGAGGGCAAATGTAATGTTCACCACTTTCTCTCCATTTTGAAAGTTTTCACTTTAAATGACAAACTGCAATCTAAACAGGGCGCTGTTTGCTTTGGAGGCTGTGGTGAGGAGGCGGCTGACTGCAGGCTTTCCAGTCCGGCTAGTGATCCAATCCATCCACAGCAAACTGAGGTCTTTGCCAAACGAAAGGGAAAATGGCTCCAATTGTGTAGATGATGAGTTTGGCCAATTAAGAGCTTAGCCATAATGAGAACCAGATGAGCAGCCTGGCAGCTGGAGCACGGCCTTCTGGGTGATTAATGATTTATGGATGTTTATGGGCATTTCGGGGCTTGCCGGCCCCTCTGCCACATCTGTCTGTTCAAAGGAGGCCGAGAGAAATTGCAACGGCCCTCATGATGTGGCCGTAATCAGATACAGACGCACACTCTCTTATGTCAGGTGACATGGTGCATATGCGCTAATGAGGCCGTGAGATGGATGTTCAGGCATGTTTTACTTGGCGTTGACCGCTCTGTGTCATTACTGTACTCTAGCAGGCCTGTCAGTTGGAACATATGGACACTAGTACTTTGTTATGCAGAAAGGGACACATTGATTTATGCTTCCAAAAATATAGGTTTTACATTAAACAGAGCATGACTGTCACTGACAGCTTTTTGACCATCACTTGGTCTGTCAGTCTTTTTACATTCCTACTTTCTTCCCTCGCCTGTGGGGTCTGCAGCACTGTCAGTTTCAGTTTGAACTCTTAGAAAAAAAGGTACTATCAAAGTTCTAAAAGGGTTCTTCGGCTGTGCCCATAGGAGAACCCTTTTTGGTTCCAGGTAGAAACCTTTTTGGGTTCCATGTAGAAACCTCTGGGAAAAGGGTTCTACCTGGAACCAAAAGGGTTCTACCTGGAACCAAAAAGGTTTCTTCAAAGGGCTCTCCTATGGGGACAGCCGAAGAACACTTTTAGGTTCTTGATAGCACCTTTTTTTCTAAGAGTCAATAGTACTTTTTTTACTTTAGAAAAAAAACAATTTCCCTAGGACACTTCACAAGAAGACTATCCCATAACAGAAATAGAAGCACTCAGATGTCTGCATTGATCTTTACTTTCTCACCTCCTCTGTACTCTGTGTTGGTCCTCCAGTCGTTGAGGTCGATCTCAGCCGTCCCTGCGATGACCAGCTCCAGCTCTCTGGCGTCAAACACCGACACCAGACGAGAGTCTACCACCTGGGGCCAGAGGAGAGTTGGAGTGGGGATTAGGGAAGTCAATAGATGATTGCCTGTTGTTCCACAAATGAATGGAATTCACCTGGCAATGGTGAGATGGAATAATGTCTCTGACACTTCCTCTAGGGCCATACCTTCCTTTGGAATTTACAGATCGAAAGGAACTGGATAGGTGTAAGCGTCATGATAATGGGGAGGATCCGCCATATTGTTAATACCCATCCTATTCCTTCAGATCTGCAAACACTGAGGGGTTAGTAGGGGTTAAGGGCCATGGGGGATGTTCTAGTTTTGTGCTGTACCTCATAGAAGCCTCGGACCAGGGCCTCAGTCTGCTGCACCACCCCACGCTCCACCCTCCACTTGGCCATGCGCTCAATGTACTCCTTCTTGTTCTTCTCCGTCACCTGAAGGTTGGAGCCGCCTGACTTCAGCTCCCGCTCCGTCACCTGACACAAGAAATGGCAAACAGGAAATTATGTCAGAGTACTGTATTTATGAAGGGTGTGTGGCGTGGGGACCATTTTGTGGCTAAAATAACTTTTGATTCTTTGACCTCCCAACAAAAGATGTACTCTGGTGTGGTGGGCAGATGTTAACTTCGAAATTAAACTTTAAAGTGAAACTTCCAACACATTTTTAATTCTGTCCTGGGCAGAAGAATATAATACTTTATTGATAAAGTACTCAATTTCCCCAAGTTACTACATACTAAAAAGTGACAGGTCAGGCTAAGCAGAGACTGTCAAAGCCCCTACCTCTGACTGACCCCTAACTGAGACTGACCCCTAACAGACTGACTCCTAACTGAGACTGACCTGGCCAAAGACCTCCTCATTGACGGTGAAGGTGAGGTCCAGGATGTCAGTGATGTCATTTTCCTTCATCCACTGGAGACTCTGATGGAACTCCTCATCCAGATACTCCAGATCACTCAGGTCTGTGGCTCTGTGGGAACATCACACATTGACTGGTTGACTGATGGATCTGATGTTACAGTAGGATTCCTTTTAGTCGACGTGTAGCATGATGCAATGTTAGTACAGAAACATTGTACAGGGAGAGTTGTGAGTAGGGTGTGTAGGGTAGATTGTGGCACAAGGCAGACGTGTGTGTGTGTGTGTGTAGGGTGAAGCGGGGTAATTGAGGTACAGAGGTAAGAGTGTGTAGGATAGATTATGGTACAGGTGTATGTGTGTGTGTGTGTGTGTGTGTGTGTGTGTGTTTAGGGTAGATGGAAGCAAAAGGGTGGTCAATGCACTCACAGTCTGAGGAGGGCCTTGTAGAAGGGCCGTGTGAAGAAGGCATCCAGTAGATACTGGTGGATCAGGGCCAGGCCTAGAATACGCCCACTGAAACGGAACCTAGGAAGAAAGGGAGACGAGGAGAGGAATCCACTTTAGACTATTGAGGGGCAGGCCATGGTCTTGGACAGGACAAGCTGCATAAACCTGTCTTTGTCTTCCAAAGGTAAAAACAGTGGAAAAGCGCTATCAACTGTTCAGGAAAGGGTCTATTCTCAAGGAATAATGGATGTTGTTGGTTAATGGTATAATTGACACTAATTTACTTTCAACGTGTGACTGGTAATTAATGACTCGGCAGAGTGCCAACAGCCAAGCTATAAACTTCACCCTCATTGGTTCAAGTCTAGCCTCCAATGACAGGCTAATTGGAATGCTATGGCAACCATTTCGTGTCCATGAAGAAGCTTAATTTCCGGTGACAAATGAACTGAGCTAACAAGGCTGCATTTCCACTAAGAGTAAAACAGAGAATAGCACAGGGTGTTGGCTACATTTCATAGCTTAAATCAGTTTCTCCTCTATTTGTTTAGTTTTTCAGTCTATGCTATTACAGTAGTCATTTGCCTGAGTACACAAGTCATTTGCGAAGTTGAAAACCAACAATCCTTGTACTATTCCCCACTGCTTCAGGGTTGACACAGACGGTAAATACATCATACCATGTTTACTAGTGTCATTATGTTTGTGTCAAGGGGAAGGTTAAACAATGCTTGGTTTTACATGACTCCCCTAGTCCCACCAATAAAATGCTAATGAGCGATAATAACCCTATACAATTTGATGAACTACAACAGTTGCATGGGGATCATAAAATCCTTGGTCCTCCTTGGTTAAAGATGCACAGAAACCAACTGTAAAACATCTGGTTTTATTTGTATTTTTATTCATTAATAGTCTCTTGGCTAAGCCTCCCTTGAAGAAGAGATTCATATCTCAATGGCTGCATTTACACAGGCAGCCCAATTCTGATCTTTTGCCCAATTATTGGCAAAAAATCTGATCTGATTGGTCAATAACCAATTAGTGGCAAAATATCAGAATTGGGCTGCCAGTGTAAACACAGACAATGGGTCACCTGATCGAATACCTGGATAAAAAAGTAATTGTTATGATAATATGCTCTCCCGGTGTATCAGTCCTCACCATTCCAGATGGTTCTCAACGAAGGCAGACATGGGGCTGATCTGGACGGTGTAGGTGTCATTGGCTGAGTACTCAAACAGGCCGTAGTAAGGGTTGAATAGCTCTTGGGACAACAGGAAGAAGAACTCCCTGGAGGGGCCACTGTAGTCCAGCCTAGAGACGGGGGACATGGGGGATGTAGTTTTAAAAATACATGGCAATGAGTTCACACACTTCCACGCACACGTCCGCGTCCATGCACACACGCGCTTACCCCTCCTCTCCCAAGAAGGTGATGTAGAGCTTGTTCCTCTGCAGCTCCTTGCGGGAGTAGGCCATCACCTGATTGAAGGTGCCCTCCAACAGGTGGTCTCTTCTGATGATCAGTCTGGGACAATAATTTAATGGTTAGCAAACTGCATATCTCCTCTCATCACATTGTCATACTTGGTCTTATGGAGCTAGTCAGAACATTGCAGATAGAAATGCTGACATAATCCAAAATGCTACATGGTAGAGAATCATCTACTGTATCTATCTCTATCTGTAGATTCTGCTTTCTTGCAACATCTACTGTAAGTCCTTGACGTATAATTACCACCAGGGGGCAGGTATCAGCATGTACAAGCATGCGTCATACACACACACATACTTACTTGATCTTCCCTGGCCCCTGGCCATAGCCCTTAGCTTCCAGCTTCCTGTAGAAGTTGCGCAGTTTGGCTTCAAAGTCTCTGCGGTATGGAGCCGGGGCTCGGGCCCTCTGTAAGCCTGCCAACACACACACACACACACACACACACACACACACACACACACACACACACACACACACACACACACACACACACACAGTGAGCGATAGCCCTAACTTAAATCTAAGCTAATACAACTGCAATCAATACCTTACACATACATAATTCATGGGCTCATATAGCCTCAAGGCCCAGTGAAAAACACAGGCAGTTATGGGCAGTTGTTAAGAGTTCAAAACGTTCCCCACTAGTGTAGCCGAGCCAATGATCCTTGTTGTTGTATTTTTTTTGGTCACGTTCTGACGCCTGAAGCACTTCCACATCCCTAAGGAGGACCTGGTGACCGTATTCACCACCTAATATACAGTGTACATCCGACCAGCGGTGGAATATGCTGCCCCAGTTTGGCATGCAGGGATAACCAAGGGACAATCCGATACCATCGAGAGAGTCCAGAGAAGAGCAGTTCATATCATCATTGGCACATTTGTGATCCATCAGTCAACTCATTTTTCGACTTGACTTGAAGCCAGCCCCAGTGAAGCCAGCCCCAGTGAAGCCAGCCCCAGTGAAGCCAGCCTCAGTTCAACAGAGCAAGGGAGGAGAAAAGTACTACTCAGATGCATGCACCTGGGCCTACCATCACTTCACACACACTCGCAGGGAAAGTATCTCGATCCTTCGCAAGATCACTTTTTAAATCCGATCTCTACCGCCGTATCCTCCCACTTCAGCGATCGTCTGTGAGCCTACACCAGACCCGCTCCTCAACTAAAATGGAACTGATCCACTGCAGGACTGAGTGTTTCTGTTGCAGCGCCGTCACAGCGATGGTTCACCTGCTGACCGGTTGATGATTAACATAATATTCTGTTTATTGTATTTTAATTTGTATTGCCAATTGTAATATTCAAATTTAAGCTGTATTCACAATTCAGCATGTTGCTGCCATTTGTACAATATTCTGTTGAAAAAGCAGTACAAAAAAACGACTCTCTCTTCTCTCAACAGAGATCAAAGGCAGAGAAAATGCAGCATCATTCCCATCCAGGTTTGCCTCCCTCCCGCTGTGGCCCTGCTCCCATTAATCCATTAATAGCTCCTCTGCTCTCATCAATAATAATACGAACCCCAGACACCTCATCATGGCCTCTTAACGACTCTATCAGCTCATTAACGCTGCATGGCCACGCTCTAATGTAGCACAGCAGGGCCTTTCATGGGGAGTGGTAATCGTAGTGTGAGGATGTTAGCTGCTAGATATTTATAACTAACCCAAGATATACTGAACAAGAATATAAATGCAACAATTTCAAAGATTTGACTGAGTTACAGTTCATATAAGGAAATCAGTCAATTGAAATAAATTCATTAGGCCCTAATCTATGGATTTCACATGACTGGGCAGGGGCGCAGGCATGGGTGGGCCTGGAAGGACATAGGCCCACCCACTTGGGATCCAGGCCCACCCGCTCAATCACAATTAGTTTTTCCCCACAAGGGCTTTATGACAGACATAAATACTCCTCAGTTTTATCAGCTGTCTGGGTGGCTGGTCTCAGACAATCCTGCAGGTAAAGAAGCCGGATGTGGAGGTCCTGGGCTGGCGTGGTTACACGTGGTCTGCGGTTGTGAGGCCAGTTGGACATCCTGCCAAATTCTCTAAAACGACGTTGGATGTGGCTTATGGTAGAGAAATGAACATTCAATTCTCTGGCGGCAGTTCTGGTGGACATTCCTGCAGTCAGCATGCCAATTGCATGCTCCCTCAAAACATGAGACATCTGTGGCATTATGTTGTGTGACAAAACTGCATATTTTAGTGGCCTTTTATTGTCCCCAGCACAAGGTGCACCTGTGTAATGATCATGCTGTTTAATCAGCTTCTTGATATGCCACACCTGTCAGGTGGATGGATTACATTGGCAAAGGAGAAATGCTCACTAACAGGGATGTAAACAAATTTGTGCACAGACATTTTAGAGAAATAAGCTTTTTGTGCATATGGAACATTTCTGGGATCTTTTATTTCAGCTCATGAAACACGGGACCAACACTTTACATGTTACGTTTATATTTTTGTTCAGTATAGTTCTTCTGTGTCGTTTTCAATGGGAGCAAATGAAGCATAGTGAGCAGAGCCAAGGACGTGTTTGCGAGATCCTATTGCCGCGTTTTAGCATGTATCTGCATTTTTCCAATAGTGTGTGCAATAATTCAATTCGCCCTTGCACTACTTGTAAACAAATTGTTTTTCTTAAAACTTTAGCAAAGCTCCACGTCTACAAAACTTTGTGCACTCTGTTCGTAACAGATTCCAGTTTTGGGAACAGAAAACTGTATTGAGATCAGCAGAATGTTGTCCCAGTTCCATCTTGCTCCATCCTCTCCCACTGCCGGCCACTGGGCTTCCTCTCCTCACCATATTACATCACAGAGGTTTTGCTCTATGGTGTGATATTTAAGCAATAAGGCCAGAGGGGGTGTAGTATATGGTCAATATACCACAGCTAAGGGCTGTTCTTATGCATGACGCATACCAGAGTGCCTGGATACAGGCCTTAGCCATGGTATAATGGCCATATACCACAAACCCCCAAGGTGCCTTATTGCTATTATAAAATGGTTACCAACGTAATTAGAGCAGTAAAAATAAATGTTTTGTCATACACATGGTATACAGTCTGATATACCACGGCAGTCAACCAATCAGCATTCAGGGCTCGAACCACCCAGTTTATAATGGATTCTATTTCAGAGTGTAATTATTAATTCATAACTGGCGCTAGCAGCCCACAGTATGGTCTCACTGATATTTCATTGCCAGTGTAATTATGGGTATGCTATCTTTGTAAAGGCTGAGGATGGAATGTTGACACCATCAACCCTATTGCTCATTTAAATCACATATTGTGGTTTGCATTGAGTGGTGCTTGGGCTTCGCAATAGCTATTGTTCAAGAGGTGACTGGTTCTTTCCCTTAATGGGACTAATTCATAAGTGGCACTTGTTATGACATGATTTCATGTGGTTCTAAGGATCCTGATTGGCTTAGGTCCGTAGTGCAGTCCGAGTGGTTACCCTCACTTAAATAAATGATGCCTATTCAGACATGGTTTGGGGTATTTAGTTAGGTTGGATTGGAGGTGGCCCATGAGGCTAGAGCCCTGTACTTGGTTAGCATGCCTGCAAGTGAAGTTAAAGGTGAGGGAGGACCCACCTGGGGAGTTTTGTGGCGAGGATCCGGGTGAGCAACGGGGCGAGAAGCTGTACCCCGGGTGGAAGGAGTGGGGTGGAACATAGGACATGATTTCCTCCTCAAACAAACTTCAGGGGAGAGAGATAGAGAGGGATAAAGGGAGGGAGAGAGAGGGAAAGGGAGAGAGAGCGTTAAAGGGATTATCATTGCATTCTATACAGAAACTGTATGTAGATCATGTAGTCTGTGGACTATAAACCAATCAAATTACGGCTGCTGGCTGGTCTGTGGACTATAAACCAATCACATTACGCCTGCTGGCTGCTGGTTGTGGGCATGGGTATATAGGCCTAAAGTAATACAGTGTGCCCATGTGAAGGATGTAATCGGATTGGCTGTGAGACAGACAGTGAATGAGCCGTGGGACTAGATGCTCTGGGTTTACTGTAATCTAGCCAGCGTCCGGCCAGCGGAGCCCCGCAGAACCAGCCAAAACAACTGTCTAGTGTCAACAGCAACAGGGTAAACAACACTACCTCAGCAGAATGACCAGGTCAGCATCACAAGACAACTTCTCCACCCCCTGTGAACCTTCCGTCTTGATGTAGTGGATCTTCTCCCTGATTGGTTGACAGAGTGAGAGCAGTCAAACATTCAGCCAAATTGTGACCTTAGAATTAACAGGTTCTATCGGCAAAAAGATGATTCTGAGATAATTGCCTTTAAACAAAAACGCACTGTACTGCCCTCCAATTATGAGACCCTGCCTGTTCACACTGACTCTGTTAATATAAAGAACTTCACCCTCACACAGGAAACTGGATCCCTTGTAGTCACACTTAAAATGATCTACAACATAAAGGCTTTATAGGGCATTCATAAAGTCTTCATAAAAACTAAATAAATACTTCACAAATAATGTATAACCAAGTCATAGGTGATAAAAGGTGATATAAAAGGTTATTACTGAACTTATTTGTTCAGAACGTAAACGCAAAATGGAATAAATACAAACTCATGAAACAATTCATAAAGCAATAATAAGTCTGGCAAAAAATACAATATATAGAGGTATATAGAGGATCACCTTAGTACATGGTTCCTGGCCAGGCTCGGCTGGCGCTCTTGAAGCATCTCAAAGATGTTTGGCTGGCGAAGGAACGCCACTATCTTGTCATTGTAAGCTGTGGTGATGGAGAGACAGAGGGGAAGGTTGGCATTTACTGGGATGACTCATGTACTGGAGGCAGCTCTGCAGAGTGGTCACTAGCTGGTACAGTCACAAAGTCATTTTACATTTACATTTACGTCATTTAGCAGACGCTCTTATCCAGAGCGACTTACAAATTGGTGCATTTACCTTATAGCCAGTGGGATAACCACTTTACAATGTGTTTTTTTTTTTTTTTTGGGGGGGGGGGGGGGGGGGGGGTAGAAGGATTACTTTATCCTATCCCAGGTATTCCTTAAAGAGGTGGGGTTTCAAATGTCTCCGGAAGGTGGTGAGTGACTCCGCTGTCCTGGCGTCGTGAGGGAGCTTGTTCCACCATTGGGGTGCCAGAGCAGCGAACAGTTTTGACAACCTGATTTTAAACTTAACCCTGACCTTAACCCTGACCTTAATCCTTAACCACACTGCTAACCCTAACCGTAAATACTTAAACCCTGATCAAATAACTCATTTTTGTTTTCATACATTTTTTACGATATAGACCATTTACTTTGCAGTTGGCCCACTTAGTGGAAACCGTTCAGTTCTGCCTCCAGGGCAAGATTCATGACAATAAACATCAACCTGGACAGAGGGCAGGAAGGTGAGGCGCAACAGTATCTCCAGTAAAATAATACAGTTAACAAAATGATTATTAAAACAAAGTGACATTTCTGTCAAATGGCCTTCATCAGACAGAGAAACTGAGGAGACAGAAGAGATGATGAAGTTAGCTCTGGTCCAGGGTGTTACATGCAGCTTGCTGATGCTGAGGTTCAGAATTAGCAAGCTGCACGTAAGGCCTTGGACCAGTGCTACAGTATGAGTGATAGTGCTGAGATACTTCCTTCGGGTTTTACTATTCACACAAATCACTAAAATAAGACTAAAATAAAGTGTTACATCTTGCTTTAATATTCTCCCATGATACTTTGCATTCCTTTTTAATCATTTTGTTGAATACTATCTATTCTTAAAGAATAAGAAAATATTTATTAGATACAAACTAATATAAGAAATGGATGGATGTTGTGTTAGTACTCTGTGGGTCCGGATAACTTCAAAAGATAACAGTTACTTTATAGTGTGGCTAGTTATTTAAAATCCACCAACTGAAAGAGTGCGGGCAAGTGACTGGTCACACATCTCGTCCTCCATACAAGAAAATGTTCCGAGAAAATGTCACGCTGTCATCGCTCAAAACATATCTGGATAACTTACTGTATGTCTAAGTGAACACAACTACCCCATTGAAACCCATTGCCGATGGAAGACGGCTGTCAGATTAAAACCGCCCATCACTCTGCCCTAGTCCTGACATGGCTGAGGAGAGGAGAGGCATTCTGTGGCACTCTGGGCTTTGTAATTACAGCTAGCGCTGTGCGGCTCAACCGCACCAGTCAAGACGCTACAGAGGCGGGAGGATGAGGGGGAACCATAGACTTATATGAGGGGAATGAGGAGGAATGGAAATTCCTGTGGCAAGCCAGCGTGTCTTTGAGCGCCACGCCAGCCGTGGTGGCTAGAGCTGTGTCTGTGGCCTGGCTGATTCAGGAACAGTTTTCAGGGTAATTAGGACAGAGAGTAAAAGGCGGAGTCTCTCAGGGGACGAGATGGAGTCACGCAATCATTGTCATAAGCAGAGAGACTCTCCATTGAGACAAGCTGTATGCTTCTGGTTTGGCCCTCACTAGAAACGCTTGGGGTGGATCAGTTGGTAGGAGGGTTGGATTCTTGCATGGACCACCTACACTGAATACCGGTATGCATGTTATCAAGATCATCTGGATGAAAGTCTGCTAAATGCCAAAAAATAAATAGACAAAATATGTGTGACTATGACTCTGCTGCAGTACTTACATGGTGCACCTAACAGTGTGGAGTCGGGGTGGTACTGGCTGCGTATGGTGGCCACCAGGCTGTTCCCAGGTCTGTGAATCAGGGAAGCTACTCGACTCCGGGACACATCAGATGCCTGGGACAAACACCACAAAGATCATCATCATTATGATGATCATCGTCATAATCTTAATCATCAGCTCATAGAAGACATTAGATGAGTGTACTATTGACTCCATTAGTAATGACAAAAAGACAATTCAATTCCATCCCAAGAGGATTCTCTCACCTCTCCTGCACTGTAGCTGCGTAGTCTCTGCAGGTGCTGCCTGTGGGTTAGGTGGTTGGGCAGACGGCCGTTCTGTAAGGGGATCCTGGGGTCAATGAAGGTTGTTGCCCGGCTGTTGTGGTCCACGAAAAACGACTGGAAAGAGGAGGAAAACAATGTCAAACAGAGATTTACATGCACAGGACTTAAGATGAAGTATCAAGGGGAAACCTTCAACCATGGTACCTAAAGTTTCATTATATTGCACCATGGCTCAAGTATCTTTCCACTGTGGCTAGACATTATAGGTGGAATCCTGACTTCAGATAACTCAAGCTTCTTATTGACATCAATTATGGAATAATCAGAATCTCTCAGAATTCTTAATTTCATCATTTGTCATTTCAGGACTAAGCTCCACCTCTCAATTTTAACTACAACCTAACTATAAGTGCATATATGTATTTTGGATAAGTGAGCAGACCTTTACCTTGCCCTGTGGGTCTGTTTTGATCTCCCAGCCTCGGGGCAGCTCTAGTTGTGTGTCGGCAAACTTGTTGAGGAAAATCACCAGATCCCTGTTGTGCTGGTAGCGCTCAAAGTTGCGTGCGTCCCGCCGGACCTTAAGGATCATGTGCTTCAGACAGGTACTGTTGGTGAATATCCGGTAGGCACCCTGGGATAGAGACACAGAGAACACATTACATTACAGGACGTGGTGTGGTTATACTGTCACAGTGGACAAATACCAATTTCACTGGCTTGTAATGCTACTGAATGCTATTAGAGTCATTGTGCACAAAAGGCACAACCAACGTTCACTCCAAACAAACATATCATACTTTATTAAATAAACACTAAAAGCACGCTGAAGTTTCAGTCAAACCATAAATCTTATGTTTACAGTATTGTACAGTATGCTTTTAGACACAACCCTGAACTGAAATAGAATGTCACAGAATCTGCAAACAAAGTTATCCGATCGGGTGTACTTGTACATAATACACACTATTTGACCTTTCCATCAGATCAACTATCTATAAACTCCTTTTAACCCAGGGGAATAATTTCTCCCTCTCTGCCTCTCTCTATCAGTTGACAGGTCACATCCCTACGTCTGTAACGGCTTCCCTTGCTTTGGCAGGAAGTTGCAGCGAGCTCTGACTCCAACGGTCAATGGATCAATAACCAGACTCTATTAATAGATCGCCCATCGGTATGGAACACCACCCTGTCGACCCAACCGCAACCGCTGGGCTTAGCTTGATGAGGTCATGACCGTGAGAGGACCGTGAAGTCGTTGTTGGTGGTAATACACACTGTTTACCAAGGCAACAGCAGTGTCATATCATCTGGAAATAGATCTGAAGCACTCAGGCATATGACCTGTCCTGTGCTCTGAGGGAAGATGGTGAATGGGGGAAACTACACTGAACAAAAATATAAACGCAACATGTAAAGTGTTGGTCCCATGTTTCATGAGCTGAAATAAAAGATCCCAGAAAATTTCCATATGCACAAAAAAACGTATTTCTCTCAAATTTGGTGTGCACATTTGTTTACATCCCTGTTAGTGAGCATTTCTCCTTAGCCAATATAATCCATCCACCTGACAGGTGTGGCATATCAAGAAGCTGATTAAACATCATGATCATTACACAGGTGCACCTTGTGCTGGGGACAATAAATGGTGGCGGTGGGGTTATGGTATGGTTAGGCATAAGCTACAGACAATGAACACAATTGCATTTTATCAATGCCAATTTGAATGCACAGAGATACCGTGACGAGATCCTGAGGCCCATTATCGTGCCATTCACCCACCGCCATCACCTCATGTTTCAGCATGATAATGCACGGCCTCATGTTGCAAGGATCTGTACACAATTCCTGGAAGCTGAAAATGTCCCAGTTCTGCATACTCACCAGACAGGTCACCCATTGAGCATGTTTGGGATGCTCTTGACCAACGTGCACGACAGCGTGTTCCAGTTCCCGACAATATCCAGCAACTTTGCACAGCCATTGAAGAGGAGTGGGACAACATTCCACAGGCCACAATCAACAGTCTGTTCAACTCTATGCGAAGGAGATGTGTCGCGCAGCATGAGGCAAATGGTGGTCACACCAGATACTGACTGGTTTTCTGATACATGCCCCTTCCTTTTTTTTAAGGTATCTGTGACCAACAGATGCATATCTGTATTCCCAGTAGTGAAATCCATAGATTAGGGTCTAATGAATGTATTTCAATTGAATGATTTCCTTATATGAACTGTAACTCAGTAAAATCTTTTAAATTGTTGCATGTTGCGTTTATATTTTTGTTCAGTATATCTTCTTGTGATTAGGGCAACAAGGTCAGTGTTAACATGTGCTGTGTCATCAGGTACAGTGGTAGGATCGAGGTGAGACAGAGGTGAACTGTGTAGTTCAACAGAGACCAACATACTGTAGGAATCAAGGGCCAGTTTACTAAGTGTTTGCAAAGAACTGTTGATGCAATATGAAAAAGAATGGGTGGAGGAGATTAATCATAAACCCAAATTGAGAACATTTTGTTTGATTAAGGGCGAATTTGTGTGTGAGAGATATATTATGTACAACCGACCTAAAAGCAAGAGATCGCTATGTGCACAGGTAAGATCAGGGATATTGCCTCTGCGTATTGAAACAGGTCGGTATTGTGGTGAAATGGAAGAGGAAAGACTATGTAACTATTGTGACCTCAAAGAAATAGAGAATGAAACTCATTTTATCCTCTACTGCCCTTTCTACCACGATATACGCTTGCTCTTATTCTAGAAAGCACACCGGATTTACTCTGGCATTATGTGTCTGAGCGATGAGGAGAAACTGAAATAAAAAAAATTGTCCATTGTGTATTTCCGTTTACGGAATATTTAGATAAAGCCTGGAATAAAAGAAAAAGGGCTACCTATAATTAAATTATAAAGATATTTAGCGTCTATGTGGTAAATGGTACGTGTGTATACAGATTGTGTATAGGCTTGTCTCCCACATGAATCTTCTCTTGGTGCCAGACTGGGTTCAAATGCCTTCTGTTTCATTTTTCTCTATTTATTTATCTGTATATGTTATGTACTGTGTTATGTACAGTGTATATGTTATGTACAGTGAGGGAAAAAAGTATTTGATCCCCTGCTGATTTTGTACGTTTGCCCACTGACAAAGACATGATCAGTCTATAATTTTAATGGTAGGTTTATTTGAACAGTGAGAGACAGAATAACAACAACAAAATCCAGAAAAACGCATGTCAAAAATGTTATAAATTGATTTGCATTTGAATGAGGGAAATAAGTATTTGACCCCTCTGCAAAACATGACTTAGTACTTGGTGGCAAAACCCTTGTTGGCAATCACAGAGGTCAGACGTTTCTTGTAGTTGGCCACCAGGTTTGCACACATCTCAGGAGGGATTTTGTCCCACTCCTCTTTGCAGATCTTCTCCAAGTCATTAAGGTTTCGAGGCTGACGTTTGGCAACTCGAACCTTCAGCTCCCTCCACAGATTTTCTATGGGATTAAGGTCTGGAGACTGGCTAGGCCACTCCAGGACCTTAATGTGCTTCTTCTTGAGCCACTCCTTTGTTGCCTTGGCCGTGTGTTTTGGGTCATTGTCATGCTGGAATACCCATCCACGACCCATTTTCAATGCCCTGGCTGAGGGAAGGAGGTTCTCACCCAAGATTTGACGGTACATGGCCCCGTCCATCATCCCTTTAATGCTGTGAAGTTGTCCTGTCCCCTTAGCAGAAAAACACCCCCAAAGCATAATTTTTCCACCTCCATGTTTGACGGTGGGGATGGTGTTCTTGGGGTCATAGGCAGCATTCCTCCTCCTCCAAACACGGCAAGTTGAGTTGATGCCAAAGACCTCCATTTTGGTCTCATCTGACCACAACACTTTCACCCAGTTCTCCTCTAAATCATTCAGATGTTCATTGGCAAACTTCAGACGGCCCTGTATATGTGCTTTCTTGAGCAGGGGGACCTTGCGGGCGCTGCAGGATTTCAGTCCTTCACGGCGTAGTGTGTTACCAATTGTTTTCTTGGTGACTATGGTCCCAGCTGCCTTGAGATCATTGACAAGATCCTCCCGTGTAGTTCTGGGCTGATTCTACACCGTTCTCATGATCATTGCAACTCCACGAGGTGAGATCTTGCATGGAGCCCCAGGCCGAGGGAGATTGACAGTTATTTTGTGTTTCTTCCATTTGCGAATAATCGCACCAACTGTTGTCACCTTCTCACCAAGCTGCTTGGCGATGGTCTTGTAGCCCATTCCAGCGTTGTGTAGGTCTACAATCTTGTCCCTGACATCCTCTTTGGTCTTGGCCATGGTGGAGAGTTTGGAATCTGATTGATTGATTGCTTCTGTGGACAGGTGTCTTTTATACAGGTAACAAGCTGAGATTAGGAGCACTCCCTTTTAAGAGTGTGCTCCTAATCTCAGCTCGTTACCTGTATAAAAGACACCTGGGAGCCAGAAATCTTTCTGATTGAGAGGGGGTCAAATACTTATTTCCCTCATTAAAATGCAAATCAATTTATAACATTTTTGACATGCGTTTTTCTGGATTTTTTTGTTGTTATTCTGTCTCTCACTGTTCAAATAAACCTACCTTTAAAATTATAGACTGATCATTTCTTTGTCAGTGGGCAAACCTACAAAATCAGCAGGGGATCAAATAATGTTTTCCCTCACTGTATGTATGTGTATATATACAGTATGTATGTATGTAGGTACAGTGAGGGAAATAAGTATTTGATCCCCTGCTGATTTTGTAAGTTTGCCCACTGACAAAGACATGATCAGTCTATAATTTTAATGGTAGGTTTATTTGAACAGTGAGAGACAGAATAACAACAACAAAAATCCAGAAAAACGTATGTCAAAAATGTTATAAATTGATTTGCATTTTAATGAGGGAAATAAGTATTTGACCCCTCTGCAAAACATGACTTAGTACTTGGTGGCAAAACCCTTGTTGGCAATCACAGAGGTCAGACGTTTCTTGTAGTTGGCCACCAGGTTTGCACACATCTCAGGAGGGATTTTGTTCCACTCCTCTTTGCAGATCTTCTCCAAGTCATTAAGGTTTTGAGGCTGACGTTTGGCAACTCGAACCTTCAGCTCCCTCCACAGATTTTCCATGGGATTAAGGTCTGTAGACTGGCTAGGCTACTCCAGGACCTTAATGTGCTTCTTTTTCAGCCACTCCTTTGTTGCCTTGGCTGTGTGTTTTGGGTCATTGTCATGCTGGAATACCCATCCACGACCCATTTTCAATGCCCTGGCTGAGGGAAGGAGGTTCTCACCCAAGATTTGACGGTGTCACGCCCTGGCTCTGGGGACTCTTGTATGTTGAGCCAGGGTGTTAGTTTCTTTGTGTAGTGTCTATGTTTCGTTTTCTATGTTCTGTTCTAGGTTATGTGTTTCTATGTTGGCCGGGGTGGTTCTCAATCAGAGGCAACGTGAATCAGCTGTTGCTTGTTGTCTCTGATTGGGAACCATACTTAGGCAGCCTGTTGTGCACTTGTGTTTTGTGGGATCTTGTTCCGTGTAGGTTTGTGTTTATGACCGAGGACTTCACGTTTCGTTTTGTTGTTTTGTTGTTGGTTAAAGTACTCAATAAAAGATGTACGCATTTCACGCTGCGCCTTGGTCCACTCATTACGACGATCGTGACAGAAGATCCCACACAAAACAGGACCAAGCAGCGTTTCCAGGAGCAAACGCCGGAGGTAACGTTGGTAGATGTCCTCCTCGGTTGGGGGAGGATAACGGAGAAGGAGGCCGTCAGTTACCGGAGGGCGATGAAGGGGGAGACCCAGGCAGGAGAGGAGAAGCGGCGCCAACCGGGCCGTCGTCGGACAGGCGAGAGGCAACCCCAAGACATTTTTTTGGGGGGGCACACGGCATGGACGACGGGGCTGCTGGAGGCAGCTACAGGGCGAGATTGTGGACTAGGAGAGAAGGCCACCAGGTTACGGGGGCCATTGGTCATTAGAGGGAAGGAGAGTGTAGAGGCACGGCGAGAGGTACTGGGGTGTGTTACCAGTCCGGTCCGGCCCGTTCCTGATCCCCGCACAAGGCCAGTGGTGTGTGTTCCCAGTACGGTCCGGCCTGTTCCTGTCCCTCGCACCAAGCCTGTGATGCGCGTCGCCAGCCCGGCCCGGCCTGTTCCTGCCCCTCGCACCAAGCCTGTGGTGCGCGTCGCCAGCCCGGCCCGGCCTGTTCCTGCCCCTCGCACCAAGCCTGTGGTGCGCGTCGCCAGCCCGGCCCGGCCTGTTCCTGCCCCTCGCACCAAGCCTGGGGTGCGCGTCGCCAGCCCGGTCCGGCCCATTCCTGCTCCCCGCACCAAGCCTGTGGTGCGCGTCGTCAGCCCGGTCCGGCCCGTTCCTGCTCCCCGCACCAAGCCAGTGGTGCGCGTCGTCAGCCCGGTCCGGCCCATTCCTGCTCCCCGCACCAAGCCTGTGGTGCGCGTCGTCAGTCCGGCACAGCCCGTGCCTGGTCAGGTACCGGTCAGCTGCTCCACAACGGAGCCTAAGCAATCCGCTCCACCGATGTCCAGTCCAGCTCCAGCCAGCGGGGCCAGACCAGACCAGGGGCGCTACGGGGGGGTTGTTAGAGGGTGGTGGTCACGCCCGGAGCCGGATCCGCCTCCGAGGTGGAATGCCCACCCGGCCCCTCCCCTGTTGGGTTTATGTTGGCGCGGTCGCAGTCCGCGCCTTTGGGGGGGGGGGGGGGGGGGGGGGGGGTACTGTCACGCCCTGGCTCTGGGGACTCTTGTATGTTGAGCCAGGGTGTTAGTTTCTTTGTGTAGTGTCTATGTTTCGTTTTCTATGTTCTGTTCTAGGTTATGTGTTTCTATGTTGGCCGGGGTGGTTCTCAATCAGAGGCAACGTGAATCAGCTGTTGCTTGTTGTCTCTGATTGGGAACCATACTTAGGCAGCCTGTTGTGCACTTGTGTTTTGTGGGATCTTGTTCCGTGTAGGTTTGTGTTTATGACCGAGGACTTCACGTTTCGTTTTGTTGTTTTGTTGTTGGTTAAAGTACTCAATAAAAGATGTACGCATTTCACGCTGCGCCTTGGTCCACTCATTACGACGATCGTGACAGAAGATCCCACACAAAACAGGACCAAGCAGCGTTTCCAGGAGCAAACGCCGGAGGTAACGTTGGTAGATGTCCTCCTCGGTTGGGGGAGGATAACGGAGAAGGAGGCCGTCAGTTACCGGAGGGCGATGAAGGGGGAGACCCAGGCAGGAGAGGAGAAGCGGCGCCAACCGGGCCGTCGTCGGACAGGCGAGAGGCAACCCCAAAACATTTTTTGGGGGGGGGCACACGGCATGGACGACGGGGCTGCTGGAGGCAGCTACAGGGCGAGATTGTGGACTAGGAGAGAAGGCCACCAGGTTACGGGGGCCATTGGTCATTAGAGGGAAGGAGAGTGTAGAGGCACGGCGAGAGGTACTGGGGTGTGTTACCAGTCCGGTCCGGCCCGTTCCTGATCCCCGCACAAGGCCAGTGGTGTGTGTTCCCAGTACGGTCCGGCCTGTTCCTGTCCCTCGCACCAAGCCTGTGATGCGCGTCGCCAGCCCGGCCCGGCCTGTTCCTGCCCCTCGCACCAAGCCTGTGGTGCGCGTCGCCAGCCCGGCCCGGCCTGTTCCTGCCCCTCGCACCAAGCCTGTGGTGCGCGTCGCCAGCCCGGCCCGGCCTGTTCCTGCCCCTCGCACCAAGCCTGGGGTGCGCGTCGCCAGCCCGGTCCGGCCCATTCCTGCTCCCCGCACCAAGCCTGTGGTGCGCGTCGTCAGCCCCGGTCCGGCCCGTTCCTGCTCCCCGCACCAAGCCAGTGGTGCGCGTCGTCAGCCCGGTCCGGCCCATTCCTGCTCCCCGCACCAAGCCTGTGGTGCGCGTCGTCAGTCCGGCACAGCCCGTGCCTGGTCAGGTACCGGTCAGCTGCTCCACAACGGAGCCTAAGCAATCCGCTCCACCGATGTCCAGTCCAGCTCCAGCCAGCGGGGCCAGACCAGACCAGGGGCGCTACGGGGGGGTTGTTAGAGGGTGGTGGTCACGCCCGGAGCCGGATCCGCCTCCGAGGTGGAATGCCCACCCGGCCCCTCCCCTGTTGGGTTTATGTTGGCGCGGTCGCAGTCCGCGCCTTTGGGGGGGGGGGGGGGGGGGGGGGGGGTACTGTCACGCCCTGGCTCTGGGGACTCTTGTATGTTGAGCCAGGGTGTTAGTTTCTTTGTGTAGTGTCTATGTTTCGTTTTCTATGTTCTGTTCTAGGTTATGTGTTTCTATGTTGGCCGGGGTGGTTCTCAATCAGAGGCAACGTGAATCAGCTGTTGCTTGTTGTCTCTGATTGGGAACCATACTTAGGCAGCCTGTTGTGCACTTGTGTTTTGTGGGATCTTGTTCCGTGTAGGTTTGTGCTTATGACCGAGGACTTCACGTTTCGTTTTGTTGTTTTGTTGTTGGTTAAAGTACTCAATAAAAGATGTACGCATTTCACGCTGCGCCTTGGTCCACTCATTACGACGATCATGACAGACGGTACATTGCCCCGTCCATCGTCCCTTTGACGCAGTGAAATTGTCCTGTCCCCTTAGCAGAAAAACACCCTCAAAGCATAATGTTTCCACCTCCATGTTTGACGGTGGGGATGGTGTTCTTGGGGTCATAGGCAGCATTCCTCCTCCTCCAAACATGGCGAGTTGATGCCAAAGAGCTCCATTTTGGTCTCATCTGACCACAACACTTTCACCCAGTTCTCCTCTAAATCATTCAGATGTTCATTGGCAAACTTCAGACGGCCCTGAATATGTGCTTTCTTGAGCAGGGGGACCTTGTGGGCGCAGCAGGATTTCAGTCCTTCACGGCGTAGTGTGTTACCAATTGTTTTCTTGGTGACTATGGTCCCAGCTGCCTTGAGATCATTGACAAGATCCTCCCGTGTAGTTCTGGGCTGATTCCTCACCGTTCTCATGATCATTGCAACTCCACGAGGTGAAATCTTGCATGGAGCCTCAGGCCGAGGGAGATTGACAGTTATTTTGTGTTTCTTCCATTTGCGAATAATCGCACCAACTGTTGTCACCTTCTCACCAAGCTGCTTGGCGATGGTCTTGTAGCCCATTCCAGCGTTGTGTAGGTCTACAATCTTGTCCCTGACATCCTCTTTGGTCTTGGCCATGGTGGAGAGTTTGGAATCTGATTGATTGATTGCTTCTGTGGACAGGTGTCTTTTATACAGGTAACAAGCTGAGATTAGGAGCACTCCCTTTTAAGAGTGTGCTCCTAATCTCAGCTCGTTACCTGTATAAAAGACACCTGGGAGCCAGAAATCTTTCTGATTGAGAGGGGGTCAAATACTTATTTCCCTCATTAAAATGCAAATCAATTTATAACATTTTTGACATGCGTTTTTCTGGATTTTTTGTTTGTTATTCTGTGTCTCACTGTTCAAATAAACCTACCATTAAAATTATAGACTGATCATTTCTTTGTCAGTGGGCAAACATACAAAATCAGCAGGGGATCAAATACTTGTTTCCCTCACTGTATGTATGTATGTATGTATGTATGTATGTATGTATGTATGTATGTATGTATGTATGTATGTATGTGTGTATGTATATTATTTTACTGCTCTAGGGATATAATTATTGTTTGGATAACCTTATTTATTATTATGTATTGATTTTTACCTTACATTTTTTCACTCATTATGCGATGCACACTGCAGAGAACACTGGAAGAAGAATTGTCACTGAATTACCACAGTGAATTATTGTAATGTTTGTTTATGTGTCAATTAATCCCATAAGGGATGGGTTGCCAATTGGCGATTTGACACGAAAATAAAATGTCATTCATTCATTCATTTCTTAATTCGGTAGGTTATCAAAGGCAGAACAAGACGGTAAATAAAGGTTAATCTGACAATCAAACATTACATCCAAAGAGCTAAACTATCAAAGGGCGGCAGGTAGCTTAGTGGTTAAGAGTGTTGTGCCAGTAACCGAAAGGTCGCTGGTTCTAATCCCAGAGCCGACTAGGTGAAAAATCTGCTGATGTGCCCTTGAGCAAGGCACTTAACCCTATTTCCTCCTGTAAGTCGCTCTGGATAAGAGCGTCTGCTAAATGACTTATTTATTTGTTATTTTTAAAGGACTATTCCTGTTTGAACAGCACTTACGTAGTTGGCATGTAGGACCGTGAAGAACTCGGGGTGGGTGACGAACTTAACGGCAGGGCACTGGAGGAGCAGGGTGATCTTCTGATTGCTAACGGGGGACGAGGGGCCCTCTCTCCTTGGCTCTGCACACAAAGGGAGGCAATGCATGGCTAAATATTTAATAATATATGTACAATATGCATGTAATACAGTAGTATTACATACATTGATCATGTTAATACCATATTAATGCCATGTGTTGCTCAGTCGGTAGAGCATGGAGCTTGCAATGGGTCATGGGTCTGATTTGAACTGGGGCCACCAATAGGAAAAGGTATGCACACACTATTGTAAGCGTCTGCTAAATGGCATATTATTCCATTATGGTTTAGGTAAAGGAGTGAGATACACACCAATGGCCTGTGGTGGAGAGTCTATTTCCGTTTCCGTGCTGCCACTTCTCTCCAACCTCCGTCCGCCACACTCATCCTCCGTCGCCATGGTCCTCTGGATGTTCTGGTACCTGGAAAGGAACAGGAAGTGACATCACCGTACGTCACTGCACCAATGAGGCAACTTATTGCATCGAGGCACTTTACAGTCAACTATGTTGACTTGATCTGCTACTGTACACCCTCAAGCAGCAAAAGTAGATTCTCTATACAATACTGCAGCTTTGCACCTTTTTGTCATTGATAAACTAAACTTTATACTTTCAAGATGCAACCCACGTCCACCATTTTTAAATCTGGAATCCATAGCAGTGAAACTGCCACGTCCGTTAACGATATAACTGGGTAATTTCTCATATTTTATTCTTCATTGGTCAGTGGGGGTCCCTTGTGACATAAAATTAGGTCAGTGTGTGGAAGGAGAAATTTGTTTATGTCTGAAGGTGTGTGTTCTGAATCTGATGTGGGCAAACCACTCTGGAACATTAAAGACAAGGGGGCCCTCAGCGACTGGGAGCCAAATTTAAATGTGTGTATGTGTGTGTGTGGGGGGGAGTGTGTGTGATTGTGTGTGAGAGGTATAGAAAAACTGAGAATGAAAAAGAGTGATTAAGCATATCAGTTAGATGGGAATTTAGGCTGCATGTCCAGACATGTCCGCTAGATGGCAGCCCAATACAAACATAAGAATACACTGACGGTTTACCAAAGAGGTGATATCACATGAACAGTAGTTACAGAGCACATCACTGGGAATCCAACTGGACAGCACATCATATGACTAAGGCAAGGCAGCCTAAGAGATATTCAGTCATGCATGATCCATTCTGACCATCTTATGCACTGCATCTTGTTACTTTTATTTAGGTATTCTTTCTTAAAACTGCAGTGTTGGTTAAGGACTTGTAAGTAAGCATTTCACTGTAAGATCTACCTACACCTGTTGTATTCGGCGCATGTGACAAATAACATTTGATTTGATTTGAAGTAGATCCCCCTCTCTGCTCTCATCCTCTCATCCCCCCTTTTCTATCCCCTCTCCTTTACCTTTCATTATTACCCTCCCCTGTCCTCCAATCTCCTCTCTCCATCCCCTCATCCCCCCCTTCTCTGGTACGGCAGGATGCCCATGGCCAGGAAGAACGTGTACAAACACTCATTTGTTCCCTGTGCTGTGGGATTACTAAATACAACATGAAATGTCTTGGCACTTATTTATTTACCTAGTTTAACATTGCAGTTGGGGCAGCGGCCAGTTGTGAGTGAATGTATCGATGTCCTCTATGTGCTTGTGTATGCTGGACTGACGGTTTTCAATGTGTGTGATGTGAATGTACATGTGTACGATGATGCCAAAGGAAAGGACAATAAAGTTATGTTCTATTCTATTCTCTCACCCCCAAACAAGACCACAAACCACCCACACATCCCAGGAAGTGAGGCATCACAATATAGTCTCCACCCGCCCCTCCACCTCTACCACCCTCTCTCCCTCCCTCCCTCCTCCTCTACCACCCTCTCTCCCTCCCCTCCCCTCCTCCTCTACCACCCTCCCTCCCTCCTCCTCTACCACCCTCCCTCCCCTCCTCCTCTACCACCCTCTCTCCCTCCCTCCCTCCTCCTCTACCACCCTCTCTCCCTCCCTCCCCTCCTCCTCTACCACCATCCCTCCCCCCTCCCATCCTCCTCTACCACCCTCCCTCCCTCCCCTCCTCCTCTACCACCCTCTCTCTCTCCCTCCATCCTCCTCTACCACCCTCCCTCCCCTCCTCCTCTACCACCCTCTCTCCCTCCCCTCCCCTCCCCTCCTCCTCCTCTACCACCCTCTCTCTCTCCCTCCCCTCCTCCTCTACCACCCTCCCTTCCCTCCTCCTCTACCACCCTCCCTCCCTCCCCTCCTCCCCTCCTCCTCTTCTACCACTCTCTCTCCCTCCCTCCCTCCTCCTCTACCACCCTCCCTCCCCTCCTCCTCTACCACCCTCCCTCCTCCCCTCCTCCTCTCCCCCTCTCTCCCTCCCTCCCTCCTCCTCTACCACCCTCCCCCTCCCCCTCCTCTACACCCTCTCTCCCTCCCCCCTCCCCCTCTACCACCTCCCTCCCTCCCCTCTCCCTCCTCCTCTTCACCACTCTCTCTCCCTCCCTCCTCCTAATCACCACCTCCTCCCCCTCCTCTTCTACCACTCCTCTCCCTCCGCCTCTAACCATCCCCCCATCCATCCCTCCTCTCTTAACCCTCTACTACTCTCTCCCTCCCTCCTCCTCTTACCACCCTCCCGTCCCCTCCTCCTCTACTCCACACTCCTCCATCCTCCTCCTCTAACCACCTCTCTCCCTCCCTCCCTCCTCCTCTAAACCACACCCTCCCCCCCTCTCCCTCTAAAAGCCCACCAACCTCTCTCCCTCATCCCCTCCCCTCTACCACCCTCTCCTCCCTCCCCCTCTCCTCCTCTACCACTCTCTCCTCTCCCTCCCCTCCCCTCCTCCTCTACCCACCCTCCCCTCCTCCTCCTCCTCTACCACCCCTCTCCCTCCCTCCCTCCTCCTCTACCACCTCCTCCCCTCCCCTCTACCAACCCTCTCTCTCCCTCCCTCCCCTCCATCCTCTACCACCCCCTCTCCCTCCCTCCCCTCCTCCTCTACCACCATCCCTCCCCCTCCCCATCCTCCTCTACCACCCTCCCTCCCTCCCCTCCTCCTCTCACCACCCTCTCTCTCTCCCTCCATCCTCCTCTACCACCCTCCCTCCCCTCCTCCTCTACCACCCCTCTCCCTCCCCTCCCCCTCCCCTCCTCCTCCTCTACCACCCTCTCTCTCTCCCTCCCCTCCTCCTCTACCACCCCTCCCTTCCCTCCTCCTCTACCACCCTCCCTCCCTCCCCTCCTCCCCTCCTCCTCTTCTACCACTCTCTCTCCCTCCCTCCCTCTCCTCCTCTCCCCTCTACCACCCTCCCTCCCTCCTCCTCTACCACCCTCCCTCCCCTCCTCCTCTACACCCTCTCTCCTCCCTCCCTCCTCCTCTACCACCCTCCCTCCTCCCTCCTCCCCTCCTCCTCTCTACCCTCCTCCTCTCCCCTCCCCTCCCTCCTCCTCTACCACCCTCCCTCCCCTCCTCCTCCTCACCACCCTCTCTCCCTCCCTCCCTCCTCCCTACCACCCTCCCCCCCTCCTCCTCACACCCTCTCTCCCCTCCCTCCTCTCTCCCCCCTCCCCCTCTCCCTCCCCCCTCCTCCTCTACCCTACCACCCTCCCATCCCTCCTCCTCTACCCCCTCCTCCCATCCCCTCCTCCTCCTCTACCACCCCTCCCTCCCCTCCTCCCTCCCCCTCTCCTCCCTCATCCCCTCCTCCTCTACCACTCTCCCTCCCTCCCCTCCTCCTTCTACCACCCTCTCCTCCATCTCCTCTACCACCCTCCCTCCCCTCCTCCTCTATCCACCCTCCCTCCCCCTCCTCCTCTCTCTACCACCTCTCTCCCTCCCTCCCCTCCTCTACCACCCTCCCTCCCCTCCTCCTCTACCACCCTCTCTCCCTCATCCCCTCCTCCTCTACCACTCTCCCTCCCTCCCCTCCTCCTCCTCTACCACTCTCTCTCTCTCCCTCCCCTCCTCCTCTACCACCATCCCTCCCTCCCTCCCCTACTCCTCTACCACCCACCCTCCCTCCCTCCCCTACTCCTCCTCTACCACTCTCTCTCCCTCCCTCCCCTCATCCACTACCACCCTCCCTCCCTACCCTCCTCCTCTACCACCCTCCCTCCCTCCCCTCCCCTCCTCCTGTACCCTCATCCCCTCTTTCTCCCAGTCTCACCTCCTGTTGAGCTGTTCCATCTGCTGGGTGGAGCTGGAGCGCTGGATGCCGTTCCACTTGGAGGCGGCGTGCGTGGGCCTCCGCCAGGTGGTGGTGCGGTTCACATGGTCCACGTAGAAGACACGTCCGTGGCTGTCGATGCGCGCCTCCCAGTCTGCACACACAGCAGGAAGTACACAGAGAGGGAGGGGGGACACAAAGAGGGAGACATGAAATTCCGGGGGCGTGATTGTAATACAACACCCAATTAAGAATGACAAGAAAAGAAAGGAAAGGAAGTTGAAAGGGGTTTGAGTAAGAGATCTAGTGGTAGCAAAAGGGAAAGCTGGATACAGGAAAGAGGAGTAAGGATAGGATGGGAGGTTTGCTTTGGGAGATGAGTGAAACTGACACTGGGTTATTGTCTGCTGTGGTCAGCTGGCTTTGGGATCAAAGTAATCTCACGGAGGTCGATATTGTATTAAGCAACTAGCTATATGCTTCACACCACAGGACATTCAGAAAGGTTGCTAACATCAGACAGGAGTTGGACACCTAAAGATGAATGTACAGTACATCCCTGCATGAATGGACCCTCAGTAAATGGTAAACACATTACCTTATAGTCATTGGCCGTGTCCCAAATTACACCCTATTCCCTATATAGTGCCCTAATTTTAACTAGAATCCTATGGGCCCTGGGTAAAAGTAGTGCACTATATAGGAAATAGGGTTCCATTTGGAATGCAGTCCTTGTCAGCTTTGGCGCTCCCTATAGGAATTCCACATACAAACAGTACATCCACAGCAACAGAGGACCGTTGCCCACAGATTTACACATTAATAGTGAAGGTCATCGAGAGCCAAAGTGCCACTTCACCAGTGTGCCTGATGACACATACTGTTGGGAATGGCAACCGCAAAGGCAAAATACAAGGGATACTTCCAGATGTTTTAAAATATGATTGAGATCCTGTGTTTAAAACTTGGAAGTGCTTCTAAATGGCATCTGTTGTTTGTGAGAAGTACAGGGCTGATGACTAGCTATGATGCCATTAATTAGGTCTACAGTTGTAGCCAAGGACCAGCATGTAAAGTAATCTCCCAAAACCACTTAAGCCTCCGTCCCAACACATCCATTTAGCCTGCTGTACATATTTTCCCTTTCTGTCATCGCTTTCCCTCTACATCTCTCCCTTTACCTCTACATCTCTCCCTCTCCCTCTACATCTCTCCCTTTCCCTCTACATCTCTCCCTCTCCCTCTACATCTCTCCCTTTCCCTCTACATCTCTCCCTCTCCCTCTACATCTCTCCCTCTCCCTCTACATCTCTCCCTCTCCCTCTACATCTCTCCCTTTCCCTCTACATCTCTCCCTCTCCCTCTACATCTCTCCCTCTCCCTCTACATCTCTCCCTCTCCCTCTACATCTCTCCCTTTCCCTCTACATCTCTCCCTTTCCCTCTACATCTCTCCCTTTCCCTCTACATCTCTCCCTCTCCCTCTACATCTCTCCCTTTCCCTCTACATCTCTCCCTTTCCCTCTACCTCTCTCCCTTTCCCTCTACATCTCTCCCTTTCCCTGTCTTTCCTCTATCTCTTCTTGAAACCCTCAGGGGGTTCAGAAGCTGGGCCTCACCCTGGCCAAATCTCTTTCCCTTCTCCTCCCTCTTTTTAATCATCATCTCTCTCTGTAGCGGGGCACAGCAGTGGGTGGGTAATCATGGTGATGGGATTCACTCTAGGATTATAATAATATAATAATATGCCATTTAGCAGACGCTTTTATCCAAAGCGACTTACAGTCATGTGTGCATACATTTTTGTGTATGGGTGGTCCCGGGGATCGAACCCACTACCCTGGCGTTACAAGCGCCGTGCTCTACCAGCTGAGCTACAGAGGACCACAATTAGAAACCTGCTGGCTTTCACAACACATGGGAGTGAGGGAGTGAGGGAGAGAGAGAGAGAGAGAGAGAGAGAGAGATCATCTCATCTCACACACCCAGGAAGTGGATTATAACCCACTAAATGCACAGCAGTACAGCCTGCTACTAGAAGCAGCAGAAAATATCCTCACCCCAAAACCAAGGCAAAAGTGTTGAAATGGAACTTATCACTCATGAGACTATGTTGCATGAGTTGTATACTACTGTATTCACACTGGCAGAATCGTGGGTAGTGTAGTCAGTGCTGTGGTATGCAGACAGAGAGAGAAACAGAGAAACATGCATACAGGATATTATTGCTGTGGAGGGAGTTACTTGGAGTCAGCGTGGAGAGATGTGGGTATTATCACTGCACTGCAGAGTAGAGCTGAATATTCAAGCCTATTTGGGGATGTGGATGTGTCTATTTGAGGCTGTAAGGTGCTTACGTTAGATATGAGGGCTTTGGGAGATACACGATTGAGAGGCAGCTACTGTCGGAGATAGTTTAGTCTGTAGTTTGGTACTGTTTTGAAGAATGTGTGTATGTGTGTGCACATTCATGTGTGCACGTGTCCTAAATACTAACACAGTATGAGTCAGTCTGTGAGCTGTGAGCATATTAACAACATCTCCTGATAGAAATATACCTCCTAGCAGCAGCTCCTCTCCATCCCTGCTCTGCTTATTCTAATGAGCTGGAAGAGAGTCCCTCTTGGTGCAGCAGCACTATATTTGTGGCTGTCAGATCTCTCCCCGGTAACTCCCTGCTGATTTGGTTTTTGGAGGCTATTTTTAGCCATTTCAATGGCTGCCCATTTCATAGTAAAACCCAAAGCTCAGCAGGGCTTCTGCTGGTGTGACATTGCACCAAGTCCCAATATCAATACAGACAAAGAACAACCGAAAAACAGGATGAATTCTCTGCTCACAGGGGAAGAGAAACTTGAGTTAAAAAAAGAACAAAGAAAAGCAATGTAAAAAGGAAGAGCGAAATATTGCTTTTCATTTCATCCCAAAAAATGATACTGTGAATATTTTTAATTTTACTGCAATTTAATTTAGCAGCTTACAGAAGAGATCACAAGGAACCATGTCTATGTTAGCGATAAACTACATTTTCCAGCTGCAGTCACATTCAACTCTTCTCTAGAGTTCATGGAACTTGTAGTCCAACAGACCTTAGCGTGAGGCGAACCCCACAGCCTCCACTGGTATCAGACGCCCTGCTGATATAAATATAGACTGCCTTTCCCGCTCTGCCTCTCTGCGGCCTGTCACTATAGAAACGGTGGTGGTGAGGGCTGTGGTGCCTGATGCGTGAGATGGTACAGCACCCCAGGATGCCACATAGTAGCATAAAGTAGCACATAGAAACCCAATCTGGCAACCCATGTGTAGCAAAACCTTGGACATAAAACACACCAGATCTCATGACTCCAGTGGGACCAGGGCGACCAGAAATGACAGTTCTAGAAGCTCAAATGGTGTGAATGGTCGAACAGAAAACGTCAAGGATGGATCAATGTACTGATAGACAGAGAGATGGATAGGTAGCACCAGAGTGGTGTGTCCCTCCCCATTGGAGAGATGTTAAGAGAAATGGCTACATGCACATCGAATGCGACACACATATCAATGCACACGGGCGCGTGCACACACAGACACACGACTCCAGAGTAAGAGTAAGGGTGGTGAATGATGTAGGAAGGCTTACTTGGAGGCAACGGTTCATCAACAGTTGGGTAATGGTGGGGGTCAGGTCGCAAAGCAGGACCTTGGCTGACTGAAGGAGGATGACTGCATGGCAAGGAACTATCTCCTATACAGACATGGGAGGAGAAACACAGGGGAACCTGTGAGCTAACAGAGGTGGGAAATGGAGGTTGGTGAACGTAAAAGGAACCCTTTTACCAACGTCGACATGTATCCGATATATTGTCTCACATCGGATAAATGTCAGGGGATGAGAAATTGGGAGCGAAAAATGCAGTTTCAGTGTCATTGAGAGATTTTTCGGCAGGGTTGATAATATTTTCTGTCTTTGCCCCCCATACAAAGTAACACACTCTTATAGTGACCAGAGAGAGAGAGCGAGAGAGATAGAGAGAGAGAGATAGAGAGAGAGAGATTGAGAGACACATTGTGGGGGTGTTGTGGGCGTGACTTTTTTCAGTTCAGAGAGTGCAGTGTGTGTGGCTGCTACTGTACAGTCCTATAAAAGCTGTTTTATTTCTGGCCTGATTCAGGTTTTATTTCTCCCTTTAGTTTTTCCAGGTTTTTCCCCGTTTTTTGTTTGTTTTCACTCTCAAAATCACACGTCTTTAATAGAAAAACAATAACATTTTATGTTCTAAGTCAACAACAATGTTTAAACCACATCAGAAGATCCTTTAATGGGTTACTCTTTAATGCAAGTGGGCACCAGGAAGAGACTGCTGTTTGGTTAAGCGGTGTTGCTGTAGCGCTCATGAGATTGCAGAGTTTGCCAAACAAATGGCCACTGGATTGCTGCAAATAATCATGATATCATTCTGCCAGGTAGGGATAGGCTACTTTATAGTTAACATTTAATTGAGAAGGTTTTTGGGAAAGCCTTTCCATCTTTACCAGAAGAAGGTTATCATTAGCATCATATCGCTAACGGCTACACAAAGTGTATATATGCACGCACTGCACACATGCACACAGACAGGGGCATTCCTGCATTTTGTTCATGTCTTATGATTCACTTGGGCAAATTAATGCATTTTATATTAAGTTTAATAGATTTAGTTGATTTCCTATTAAGTTCAATACATTTTTGAATATTGTGTAATTCCATTTAAAAGTTTGGATTCCGTGATTCTCCGCAACGCGGATTCTATAAGGCCCTAATACTGTTCTGTGTGTGTGTAGCTATTGTACTGTGTGTGTGTGTGTGTGTGTGTGTGTGTGTGTGTGTGTTATAGCACAGAGCGGGCGCTGCTATTTAGAATGTCAGGTAAACGGCAGCGGAACCTCCCAGTGCTGAACATTAACAGTAGTGAATGTGAGCGTGGTGGATCAGTGGGGACTGACTTGGTTCTGCTTGGCCGGGTTTGTACTGAGTACGTTGTAGCTGCAGGTACCTGCATGGCTCCCACCCACCCACTCCTTCTCTCAGTATGCAGCAGTGTGTGTGGTGAGCATACTGTGTGTCTGTGTTGGTGTAGGATTTATCTCCCACCGTATAGTATCTCCGTCCATAAAGAGGTACTGTCAGCCCTCAGCTCTCTCTGCCCTTCCAACAGATAGAGGGAGAACAGAGAAAACGTCAAACAACTGTCAAGACAAATTACAGATATAAAACCGCCACATGCTCCCCCCCAACATGACCCATTTGCTCTAACAATGATAACAATAGTCAGTTACCTAGGTGACAGAAGTTCTGACATTTTTTCATTAGCAATTCTAATTAAGGAAGAAAGACATGGGGGATGAAAGGAGAAAATATATAAAGTGCAGGCAGGAGTCTTGCCGTGCCCTGATCGAGGCATAAAATGGGGCCTTAATTTTTTTGCTCTGATTCGTGATCTACATTGCCTATCGTGTCTAATGAGAGTCAACATGTAAAAAACGGAACACTTGTGTAGCTTTGGAGAACACAGGAGTTCAAGTTGAAAGAAAACCATGCATTTTCAGCATATACCCTAAAAACAGCCAACAGACGTAGGTATGTTGCTCAGCATCAGCAATGTCATCGTGAACAATGTATATGAAGCTTAATTGTGAACTTGTTTGAACAGAACTGTTTCAAATTCATATGCAATCACTTCCTTTGTCCTAATTATCTCACTATTATCTCATTTTGTCCTTACTTCAACACAACCCAGCCTCAAATGGTTGGGCATCCACTTTGTGTAGCAGTGTTTTCACCCAGTAACTGAACCAGTAACTGAACCAGTAACTGAACCAGTAACTTTACCAGTAACTGAACTAATAACTGAACCAGTAACTTAACCAGTAACTGAACTAATAACTGAACCAGTAACTTAACCAGTAACTGAACTAATAACTGAACCAGTAACTTAACCAGTAACTGAACTAATAACTGAAACAGTAGCTGAAGCACCATTTCAGTCAAAGCCAAATAAAAAACAAACATAGAAACAAAGAACATAGATAACAAAACAACATGGCAGTAGCAAAGCAGCTTATGACCAAAAACAAAAGCCTGGTACCATATGTCTGGGCAGGCAGGCAGCCAGGAACCTAAAAATGCTGTGCTACCATGAGTTTGACCACATTCTTTGTGTGACCTAACCACCCCATGCTGACCCCTCTCCTCTAAGGCCACCATCACCTTTGACCCCTGTCCAGGAGGCCTGATGTGTGTGTTGATGTGTATGTACAGTATGTCGATGTGTGTGTGTGTGATGTGTGTGTGTGGGGAAGACACACACAATGGTCATCGCAACAGACACAAACACTATTGTGAAAGGAGCAAACTGGGGGTAAACGCACAACTGCGGGGGTCTGTGCTTCCCATAGCCTCCTATCTCGAACCACGGTGCACTGCTCTTTTAAAGGACAAACAATGATTAGCACAATCATGGGTGATGGTTCGGTTGGCATTCACTCGTTTCACGTTTGTGAAACTGGAAATGAGGTCGGCAGTGGGGGTTGGGGGGGAAGATAATTAGAGCGACACTGACAGTGCTAACGCACCTGAATGTGGGGGGAGAAATAACAGGGCTCCCTGTGCAACACACTAACGGGCAACCAGGCCTGTCACAGCGGAGACTATGGATTCAGTCACAATAACAGAGCTCTCCTGTACTCTCTCTATCAATAGTGGTGAGGAGGAGGCCTTGTTTCTAAAGATAAGGTTCTGTGTATAGTAAGTTATAATTATTGTGGTGGGCTGCAATGCTGTGCAGTTGTTGTACAGTGTAACCATCACAAGGTAGGAGAGTAGAGTAGTCTTGCAAAAATAGAAATGGGGGTTGTGTTTTCATTTGTTATTCTGGGTATGTTTTTATCACATTTGCTAAGGTTGACCTGGTCTTAGGGTCTGAACAGGGTAAACACACATTTACCAGGTGTATCAGTTAGTACGTGACTAGAAAGAGCATCTCACCTCCTGCTGTCCTATCGCTAGGCCCGGCCACCGGTGACTCCCCGCTCCCCCCTCTCGTCCCCTCCTCTGTCTCCTCCCTCCATTCTGCTGTCGTCCCATCGCCGCCAGGCTCCCTGGTCTCGGGGCTCTGGATGGAGTCAGGCACCGACTCAAAGGCGCTGTTCTCCTCCTCTTCCTCCTCTTCGTCCTGTGAGGAGAAGACGGTGCTCTCTGAGAGGCGTGTGCTGTCCACCGACGACAGCCGTGTGTGGCTGCAGACGCGGTTGCGCCCCTCGTAGCCAGAGTTACTGTAGCAGGAGGTGCTGTAACAACTGGTGCTGTAACAAGACGTGCTGTAGCACGAGTTGTCGCACAACTCGCACTCGCTCCCCCTCACTCCCCGGCCGCCTCCGCCCCCTTCCGCCTCTTCGTTCTCCAGGCGTGGGTGCAGCGTCCTCCCTCCCCTCTCCCCTCCATCCAGAAGCTGGTTGAGTTCTGACAGGCGCTCAATGGACAGACTGCGGGGGAGGGTCCTACTACGACAGCAGGGGGCTGTGCACTCACGCACCTGGGAGGGGGACGCCAGGGATTGGGACACGTCTCCCTCCTCCTCCTCCCCTTCCTCCTCCTCCCCTTCCCCCTCCTCCCCGTCCTTGGAGGTGGGTTTGATGGTAGGCTCCTCAGTAGAAGACCCTCCCTCCTCTTCCTCCTCCTCCCCGCTGCCCTGCCGTTGGCGTGCTGAAGGCAGGCTGTGGAGGAGGTGGTGGATGCGGATGTAGTGGGTGCGCGGCGTCTCGGGGTCGCCACACGACGAGGCGATCACCGTCTCCAGCTCAGAGACGGGCAGCGAGCAGGGCCTGTTCTTGCGCCGCAGGGCGCTCCGCATCGGAGGGGAGGCGCGGGCCGGGCAGCAACAGTCAACCCTCCTCGGTTCGGCTTCCACCACCAGCTGCTCGCCCTCCTCCTCCACTACCTCCACTTCCTCCTCAGCCGGCACAGGCCCCGTGGCTCCTTCCAACGGCTCCTCCACAGCAGTGGTAGGTTCCTCACTGTCCAACTCCATCTCCACACCCTCAGGGTTAGGCTGCACTTGGGCCTCCCCCTCCTCCACCTCCTCAGACAGGGCATGAGCCTCCTGGGCTCCAGTCTCCTCCTCCTCCTCTATCTCCTCCTCCACCACTTGTTCAGCTGAAACCTGCTCTTCTATCCCAGTCTGTGGCTCTGAAGAAGATACCTGCACATCCCTAACTGTGCTCTCGTCCATCTCAACCAGGGTGACCTGCTCCTCCACACACTCCTCCTCAATGACCTCGTCCCCAGGATAGGCCTCCTCTGTGAGGGAGACGTAAGCGAGAGTGGTGGAGGGCTCCGGGTCCTCCGAGTCTGGGGCTCCATCCAGTGGGAGCTCGGGTGTGTCGGGCCCCATGCTCAATGTGTCGTCGGCGGGGATCTCTGCTGAGGCGACTGGGTCCTCCTGGTCCACCTCCAACTGGTCAGGGTCAGGGACCACTGGGCACTCCATGACGAGGGAGATGTCCTCATCATCTGAAATGAGAGAGAGAACAATTGTCACCTTACTGTCTTAGAATGGTGACTTGGGGACCCAATGCAATCAATTGCAGACAAAGAGAAACCACACTGTGGATTTCCTTTTATGTGTAATTATTTGAATTGTGGCATTGGCATAGTACAGGGATTTTTAAAAAATGTATTGGACTTTCAATCAGGACAATAACAGTACATGGAATTAATCAACAGCAATATTGTTTACATTCATCTCCACTGTGATCAGTGTTTTTGACTATATCATGTGGGACATAAAACATGACTGGATCTTATCGTGGTATTTCAATTTGATCATTGAGTGAAAACGGACTAAATGTGATCTTGGTACTGATGTAAGAGAAGGTAAGGGTTCAAAGAAGGAAGTGTTCGTGACCTGGGTGAATTGAGGACATTATCTCAAATCTGAACTGCAGCTGTCCACTAACATGATCCGTCGGCAGCCTGCGGCCAAGAGAGTAGCTCACCACACGGTCCCTGTAGTAGAGAGAGGGAGAGAGAGAGCAAGGCATAGAGAGAGAGAGAGCGAGAGAGAGGCAGAAAGAGAACGAGACGGAGAGAGAGGCAGAAAGAGAACGAGACGGAGAGAGAGAGAGACAGAGAGAGAGAGAGACAGAGAGAGAGAGAGACAAGAGAGAGAGAGAGGGAGAGAGAGACAAGGCATAAAAAGAGAGCAAAGAGGCAAAAGAGAACAACGGAGAAGAAGAGCAAAGGAAAAAAACGGAAAGGAGAAAAAAAAGAAGAGAAAAGGGGGAAGGAGAGGATAAGAGAGAGGAGAGGAAAGGCAAAAGAGAAGAGACAAAGGAAAAGGAAACGAACAGAAAGAAACAGAAAGAACAATAGAAAGAGAGACAAAAGAAAACAAAAGGAGAAAAAAAAACGAAAAGAAGACAAGAAACGAGAACGGAGAGAGAAAGACAGAGAAACGGACGAGAAGAGAGAGCAGAAGAGAACAGAAAAGAGAAGAGAGAAAGAAGAAATACAAGAGAAAAAGAGAGAAAGAGAGAAAAAGTTTAAAATAAAAAAAAAACCCAAAATTTTTTTAAATTTAAATTTAATTTAGGGGGGAAAAAAGGGGAAATTTTGAAAAAAGGGGGGTTTTTAAAAAAAATTTTTTTTTCCCCCCTTTTTTGGGGGGAAAAAAATTAAAGGGGGGGAAAAAAGGGGGGTTTTTCCCAAATTTCCCCCCCCTTTTTTTTGGGGGGGGGGAAAAGGGAAAAAAAGGGGGGGGGGGGGGAAAAAAAAAAAGGGGCCAAAAAAGGGGAAAAAAAAAAGGGGGGGGGGGGAAAAAAAAACCGAGAAAAAAAAAAAAAAAGGAAAGAGAGAGGGGGGGGAAAAAAAAAAAAAAAGGGGGAAAAAAAAAAAAAGGGGGGGGGGGGGGGAAAAAAAAAAGAACGGGGAAAAAAGGGAAAAGGGAAAAAAAAAGGGGGGGAAAAAAAGGGGGGAAAAAATAAAAGAAAAAAAAAGGGGGAAAATTTTTTAAAAAAAAAAAGGAGAAAAAAAAAAAAAAAATTTAAAAAACCCCCCCCCCCCCCCCAAAACTTTTTGGGGGCCCCCCCCTTTTTTTTAAAAAAACCCCCCAAAAAACCCCCCCCCCCCCCCCCGGGGGGGGCCCGGGGGCCCCCGACGGGGGGAAAAAAAAACCCCCCCAAAAAAAAAAACCCCCCTTTTAAAAAAAAAAAAAGGGAAAAGAAAAAAAAAACCCCGGGAAAAAAAAAAAAAAAAAGAAAAACAACAAAAAGGGGAAAAAAAAAAAAAGGGGGGAAAAAAAAAATTTAAAAAAAAAAAACCCTTTTTTTTAAATTTTTTTTGGGGGGGAAAAAACCCCCCCCAAAAACCTTTTCCCCCCAAAAAATTTCTTTTTTTCCCCCCTTTTTCCCCCCCTTTTTCCCCCCCTTTTTGGGGTTTTTTTAAAAAAGGGGGGGGGGCCCCCCCCCAAAAAAAACTCCCCCCAAAAACCCCCCCTTTTTTTTTTTTAAAAACCCCCCTCTCCCCCTCCCCCCCCCCCCTTTTTTCCCCTTCCCCCCTTTTTTTTCCCCCTTTTTTCCCCCCTCTTTTTTTTTTCCCCCCCCCCCAAAACCCCCCCCCCCCCCCCCCCCCCCCCCTTTTTTTTTTCCCGGGGAAAAAATTTTTTTTTTAAAATTTATTTTTTTCCCTGGTTTTCCCCCCCGGGGGGGGGGGGTTTTTTTTTTTGGGGGGCCCCCCCCCCCCTTTTTTGGGGGGTTTTGGGGGGGGGTTTTTTTTTTTTTTTTCCCCCCCCCCCCTTTTTTTTTCCCTTTTTTCCCCCTTTTTTTTTTTTTGTTTTTTTTTTTTTTTTTTTTTGGGTTTCCCAAAACCAAAAAACCCAAATTTTAAAAAATTTTTTTTTTTTTCCCCAAAAAAAAACCCCCCCCCCCTTTTTTTCCCCCCCCCCAAAAAAAAATTAAAAAAAAAAAGGGCCCCAAAAAAAGGGGGAAACCCCGGGTTTACCCACCCCCCCTTTTCCCCCCCCCTTTTTGGAACCCCCTTTTTTCCCCCCACCCAATTTTTTTTTCCCCCCCTTTTCTTTTTTTGGGTTAAAAAAAATTAAAAAAAAAAGGGGGGGGGTTTTTTCCCCACGGGGCCTTACCCCCCCGGGCCCCAAACCCAAAAAAAAAATTTAAAAAGGGGGGGGGGTTTTAAAAAAATTTTTTTCCCCCCTTTTTTTTTCCCCCCCCCCCCCCCTTTTTTTTTTTTGGGCCCCCCCTTTTTTTTTTTCCCCCTTTCCCCCCCCGGGGGGTTTTTTTCCCCTTTTTTTTTTAAAAACCCGGGGAAAATTTTTTAAAAATTTTTAATTTTTTTTTTTTCCCCCGGCCCCCTTTTTTTTTTTTCCCCCCCCCTTTTTTTTTTTTTTTTTTTTTTTTTTTTTTTTCCCCCCCAACGGGTTTTTTCCCCCAAATTTTGTTAAAAATTTTTAAAAAATTAAAAAATTTTTTTTTAAAATTTTTTTAAGGAACCCTTTTAAATTTTTAAAAAAAATTTTTTTTTTTGGGGGGGGTTTTTTTTTTTTTAAAAACACTTTTTAAAAACCCTTTCAAAAAAAAAAAACCCCTTTTTTTTTTAAAAAAAATTTTTTTTTTAAAAAAACGGTTTTTTTTTAAAAAAATTTTAAATTTTTTTAAAAAAGGGAAAATTTAAAACCCCCTTTTTTTTTTTTTTGGGGGGTTTTAAAAAAAATTTTTGGGGAAAAATCTTTTTTTTCCCCCCTTTTACCCCCCCCTTTTTTCCCTAATTTTTTTAAATTTTTTTCCCCCCCCCCTTTTTTAAAATTTTTTTTTTTTTAAAATTTCTTTTTTTTCCCCTTTTTTTTTTTTTTTTTTTCCCCCCCCTTTTTTTTTTTTCCCCCCCTCCCTCCCCCCCCCCGCCAAAAATTTTTTTTCCCCCCGGGGTTTTTCCCCCCCCCCTTTCCCCCCCCCCCCCCCCCTTTTTTTTTCCCCCCCTTTTTCCCCCCCCTTTCCCTTTTTTTTTTTTTTCCCTCCCCCCCCTTTCCCCCCTTCTCCCCCCCCCTTTTTTTTTCCCCCCCCCTTTTTTTTTGGGCCCCCCTTTTTTTTTCCCGGGTTCCCCCCCGGAAAAGGGCAAAAACCCCGGGAAAAAAGGGGGCCCCCCCCCTTTGGGGCCAAAAAAAAAAATTTTAACTAAAACCCCGGGGGCCCCAAATTTTTTTTAAAAAAAGGGGGTTTTTTTTAAAAAATTAAAGGGGGAAATTCCCAACCCCCAAAGGGGGGGGTTTTTTTTTTTGGGAAAATTTTTAAAAGCCCCCCCCTTTTTCCAACCATATTCAACTGTTTTTCATGACCATTCATGGTGTTATCAATATATCTATTAAGAATAGCAGGAGACACAGTGCATCTTTGTTAGGTATGGCTTCTCATTGATGAAACCTTCAAAAGCACAAGCTTTTCATTATTCTCTTGATGACAGCTATTTTACACTGAAATAAAGAGCCTTTATCAAGGTCAAAACAGCAGTATTGCCTTCTGCGAATTTAGCCAAAATCTTGCACTGTTCCCTGACTACTAGACATTTTATGACCATACTCAAAATATATATATTTTTTAAAGATTAAAAGACAATGGCATGTATAGAAATATTCTAATGGAGTTTAGAGCTTGGATTATGTAATCAATGTATTACAACATTGGTCTCTTGAAGGACAAGATCTTGAAATGTGCATCCCCTCTCTCTCTTTCCCTTACTGCCTTTATCTCTCTCTCCTTCCTTCACTCCCTTTTCTATATCCCTCCCTCCCTTCCTTTCCCAAACTCTCTCTCTCCCCCTCCTTCCCTCAATCCGTTTCTATATCTCCTTCCTTCCCTCTCTCTCCTTCCTTCACTCTCTTTTCTATTTCCCTCCCTCCCTTCCTTTCCCAAACTCTCTCTCTCCCCCTTCTTCCCTAAATCCGTTTCTATATCTCCTTCCTTCCCTCACTCTCTTTTTTCTTTGACTCTCTCTGTCTCTCCCTTCCTCTCCGTGTCTGGGCTGTCTCTGCTGCTGTCCGAGGTGCTGAATGAACCAAGGCCGGCGGCAACAGTAGCTGAGCGCTGTCCAACGTGCTTAAATGCCCTCTCCCTCAGCCAAGAATCAGCGAGAGAGAGTGCCTTGAACTACATCCAAGCGCTAGAGAGACCGGAGGAGCATCCTGCCCAGTGAACAAGGCAGATAAAAGGCACCAGCTCTGCAGCTGCAGAGGCCATGAAAGTAACTAGCGTTTCATTGTAGAGCTTTGGTGGTTTTGAAATGTACATAGGAGAAGTAATGTGTGTTTGCAGTATCCCAGAGCACGGGTAACCATTGGGTGTACTATAACAGGGTTTGTGATGTTTAGTCCTCCGTGAAAGAGGATTTGCTGCGGTGCGTTCAAAAAATGGCCTTGGCGTGGAGGACGGTTGGATGGGAGCACCTTGAAAGTGGCCGCCCACCGGTTCATGGTTCCAGGGCACTGTTCTACTACTAGCCTGCTAGATTTCAGCTGCAGTGCCATAGTGGAATACGCTGCTTTGGTTGATCTGCTATCTGCTGCGCTTGAGTTGCTAATCGCACTAAAAACAACAACGAAGCCACTGATTCCTCCATGCACTGGCCTAGTTAATGTCCCTCATCCCCCCTCCCTTCCTCTGCACCACCCCTTAAAATCCAATCTGTAGCAGCTGAATGTAATTTGCACCCAGCAGTGTCTCTCTCTCTCCCTCCACCCCACGGCTTTGTCATCCTCAGCGCTCCGTTTTAATTGAATTGAAAAGTACAGCTCTTTCCTGTCTCAGAGAAGATAGAGACAGGAAAACATACACATACCGGTAGACACACACATAGTTAAACAAGCACACTAAACACTGAGCAAGAAGAGGCTTCATAGCCCATGTGAGAATGTTTTAACCTGAGACTCCTTTCTCTGTGAGTTTGACCAATAACCACTACACATCACAAACAAACAAGATAGCTATTGGCCCACCAAAATAGAT